GAAAGTTTTAAATCGAGTCTTAAACTCAACATAGTGATATTTGGTTGACGATTTAGGTTATCAACCATTCATAGCCAAAGTTCAATAAATGAAAAAAAACTAATATTAATTATCAACATTTGTTATTGTTTGTTTGAAAATGTTTGGATTTTATTCTAAAATCAGCTGAGTGCTAAAAAAATTGTTCGGAGATTTTTTTGCAAACCGTACTTTTCAAGCGACATTTGACTTTGACAGATGGAGGTCATTGGCTTTCCTATTCTTATTTGAATCGCATTATATTTCATTTTTTCTCCAAATATCATCATCCAATTACGCACTATCCGTAAATGGAATGCTCTGCCCGCTCACGTGTTCCCTCCCTCTTACAACCTGGGATCCTTTAAAAGAGGCGTGAAGAAGCAACATGCAGGCCGGCAGGGTGAGGATGGCTGGTGTGGCAGGTAGAACTGCTGTATCAGCTATCTTCGCGTCTAGACTTCACCTTGACTTAACCTCAGGTGGGGTGGAGTCATTTGTCGGACCTATCTATAAAAAAAAAAATCGAATGCCATTAACTTGAGTACATGAGAATTGCCCCCCAGATCAACACTTTGTTAGCAGACTGCGAACAAAAATGGAGTCCAGTCTCTATAATCCTCATTAAATTATGATTTTATCTTTTCTGATCCGTACGAGAAACGAGAAGTTAGCAATTGTATAATAGTTAGTTATTTCAATAACAGTCAAGCTGAAAGGTCATCAACCTTATTACTTCTTGTTTTCATCATGGACTAATTATTAGTTTAATTTGTGCAAGATCGATGGAAATAAAAGAAATTGTAAATCAAACGTAATACTATTGCTAGTACTATAAGAATACGTATGATAATTTCATCACTGCCATTAATGGTTCCGTGGTGTAGTGGTTATCACATCTGCTTTACACGCAGAAGGCCGCCAGTTCGATCCTGGCCGGAATCACTCTTTTATTTTTTATTTTTTTTCTATTTTCCCTTTTTTTGTTATTGATACGAAGTTCCTTTTCGAACGGTATGGACTTGGCGGATGGGGGCAAGGCGAAAACAAATGTAAGATATTTTTCTTCCAGTATTACCTACTCAGCCCCCCTAGCATGAGCAACAAAACGCAATATGATAAAGCGGTTTATCGACATTAACTGTCAAACTATAATGGGGGCTGGACTGGTAATAAGCATATTATGGCAGGCAGGATACGGCGACCGCTTAATATTAGGCAAAAAAATAAATCGATTTATTTCTGTGGGCAGGTCATACGTTTAAGTTATTACACTTTTACTTAAAAAAAAGGTCTTTTTTAACAATTTTTTTTCTGGCGCTTCGCCGGCCGCTGCCGCGGCACGCTCGCTTTGCTCGCTCGGCTCGCGCGTTATGGTCACAACACTAACCTAACCTAACCTAGTGTGAAGTATCACCACTTGGGCCCTGGAAGTACAGTTTAGCCCAAAGTTTTTTAGCTGACTTTATAATTATAAAAATAAAAATATATTTAAAAAATGGTTGCCTGTAAAGTCGGTTTTACGGGCGAAGATTTTACGTGACAACGTCTTTTTCTCGGTAGAATATTTATTGATATGAATATAATTAAATTGCACAATAGGAACAAGGAATTGAATGAAAATAAGAATTGCACAAATTTTAACTATAGAAATATATTTTGTTTACTAAAACATTGTACATGTAAACTTAAACTTAACACGAGAGACTCATCGTAACGTTACCGAGCGTTACACTTTTTCATAAGTGACTCCCAGCCGCAACCTAATTTAAGACGTTGTCACGTCAAAACTTAGCTATTTGTAGAGTTCCGTAGTCCTGACAAGGTACCTTTATAGTTTCGTCATGTTCATGTCTGTCTGTTCGTCCGAGGTTTTGCTTAGAAACTGTTGGCACTAGAGGGCTGCAATTTTTTGAAGGTACCGATGTAGGTATACGACTTACGCCGACAAACTGGGAGAATAAAATTAAAAAAAAAACTAAGGTTAGACGTGGTGATTCAATTTTAACATCGTCTACCCCATCGTATGGGGTATTGTTGGATATCCCCTTTAAAATAACTTAGGGGTTGCTAAGAGGATTTTTCTATTTAGAGATTCGTTTGCGAAATATTAAACTGGTAATTTTAGTTCGATGAGGGCGCCCCTCCCTCTAAAAGCTAAACTATCGGCTTAAAATTGTTTTTTTCTTTATAATTTAAGTTCTCAGAAGATTGTCCGTCAATACTATTTGCTTTTACAGTAATTTACTAGCAATTTAGAACCTAGAAAAGAATATTTCACGATTGTTGGTTCTTATGCCAACAATGTATGGACGTAGAGCAATGTCCTTTAATACTAATGGCCAAACAAGGCACTTCTGGCGAAGGGGACGGGAAAGGCCCTGAATCATGACAAAATGGCCGCCGAGGACGTGTCGCTATGTTGCCAACCCTACTTTATAATCGTAGTATCCTACTATATCAGGGGATCAAATACTATATTTCTAAAAATATATATAGTAGGCGAAACTACTATAAGTAGATTTTTGCCAGTAAAAGCGTTCTTAGAAATAAAAAAATGGGTGCGTGTACTTATGTAGGCGCGTGAGAAGTCATCCTTCTTTGGCATCGTTTAAAATTAGTTTTTAATTGCATGCAAATAATTAATTACAATAAATTAATAAAAAGTCTGGAAAATGACACAGTCAATAAAGTTCAGTTTTAATTTGAAAAAATAAATAAATAATCAAAATATTCAATTAAAATCGCTACTGAATATAATTTATTAGAAACTCAAACACGTATTCCGAATATACAAACTAGAAACATGTGGATAAATATTATAAATATGAATACCTATAACTGTTACTTTATTACAAAAAATAAAGATGTGGTTTTTGGTTCTACTACACCAATGGTCAAGAGATGGCGCTGTAGTCTCCTGAATCGCGCTTTGGTTCCGTTGTTCCAGATTAATAAATACTTTTGATAGGCCTTCACGCTTTAGCGACCAACTTCATGCTGTTAATTTTTGTGTTACAGTGATGCGCGCGCATCTTAAAATTTCACTCTCATCATTTTTTCATAACGCGCCTAAAGAAGTATAACTTCAAAAATGCATGGAATGGAAGAGCAAATATATATTTATTTTAAAAATAAAGTAGATACTATATTTTTTCCATCTTTTTGCCATCTAATTTATTTATAGAAGTAACAGCTCCAAAAATACTATATTTGATTGTAAAAGATTTGGTCGCAGACTCAGCGTACACGATGTATGAACATTTGTTGCGAAAATTTAGTAAAGCGTTCTATTCAAGTTAATATTCTTAGATTAGGTTTTTATTGTAATTAACGTAGAGAAATAGTTAATAAGTGGAAATATCTCTGTCAATCGGATCAAGCGCGCAACGCAGACTGAAGTTCTAGTGCTCCAAGTATCCAGGTGGACTGCCAACTTGTTTGCCTGCATAAACATAAGAAAAATAAAAACCAACAATGGTGTCGATTCTGACATGATTCTCTAAACTTAAAGCTAAATTTAACATCAATCCATCCTTTTTATTCTGTATAGAGAATGACAACGATACACTGTTGTCAAATTTAAGTTTAGGTTTAGAGAATCCTGCCAGAATCGGTCCCATTGTGCATTTAAAACACAGCCATTAATTTATGCTTGTTATTATGAAACAAAATTATCGGAACTAGGAGAGAAAGGATATTATAATCCGTCCTAGCAGGGTTGCTAGGTCTCCCGATTTTATAGGAGGTCTCCTGTCTTTCTCAAATGTCTCCTGTTCTTTTGTTTGTTTACATGAATCTACTGTTTTTATTAGAATACGTTTTTTTTAATTGCGTGAAATGTAACTTAAAATGAATCACTCGAGCCACGAGCTTTGAGGGGTGGACGAATCCATATTGGTAGCCTATATTTGATTCGTCCAGAAATACGTCCCTACGCCCCTGCATCTACTGTTTTTTCTTCTTATTACTTTTGAAAATCTGACCTGGCAATATTGCGTCCTAGATAGAAATATTTAGAGGAGTTCTTTATAAAACTACCAATACCCCACATCAAAAAGGGAGTGTAATGTTTTCAGGGTACATTAATAAATACATGTTTTTTCTTTAGTCCAATAACTTGTACTTGTCTAAACTGATGAACGACGGTGCGATAAAAATCTTTAAATCATACCGAATGGTATTTGAAAAATCAATATGGTGGCTTTATAGCATCAATAAATAACAATTAAAAAATATAAGAGTCAAAAAAATAAAACTAGTTTTTAACGGGTTAACACACGAAACTTTATTTATTTATTGACGTTTCGCAGCCTAATAAAGTTTCGTGCATTAACCCGTCAAAAACTAGTTTTATTTAATGAGTGATGTGCGTGAAAACCTATGAAACTAATATAAGAGTCATTATAGTACTGGTATCGACATCCTTTTTTAGACATAGATGAGTTGGGTGTACATACACCCTAAGTACAAATAACTTCTTTAAATATTTTAAAGAAACGCTCGTCTAAACGCTATCTATTGTCGAATTTCTTTCTTACAAGTTTCCCCCACTCCTAAAACTTTAGAAGTAACGATCGTAAAATTACTTCGATCGAACCAATATCGAATTCGAATAGTTTGCGAGTTCGAAATGTCATTGTCAAATGTGTACTGATTTTTAATTCTCCTTACGTACGTTATGGCGCTGTTTTTCAAGTTTTCATACTGAATTTGACAATGACATTTCGGACTCGCAAACTATTCAAATTCGATAATAGTTCGTGCTAGGGGTACCGCACGTGTGGGGACATCGACACAATATAAGTAAGGCTACCCACACTCTATTTATTTATAATTTAAACAAGGATTATTACATGGAAAATTTAAATAAACATTTGGCTAAACGCCATCTATCGTCGAATTTCCTGCTTACAAGTTCTCCACACCTCCTCAAACTTCAGAAACGCCATCTAGTGTCAAGTAACCATATTTATTTCTAGTGCTGATTGAAAAATTGCTCCGGTCGTGCGGTGACATCGACACAATATACGTTTTGATCAGAAACAAGAAGGGGAAAGATGCCACAGCAAGATTGCATGAGATGTTGAACGAATTTGTAAGTATTACAAATAAATTCTCTTATTAAAAGCGGACACGAGCTTAATTTGAGAAATATGAATTTGAGAAAACTATTGCTGTCGCGAATTTGTAAATACCGTGCGATAGGGACAACAGTAGCTAACGCTAAAAATTGCGTTTAGAAAATGCAAAATTCAAGTTTTCGACGATTTCCTCCTTGAAAATTAGATATATTTAAAATAGATTTTACATATAGAATAATAAGTACTGATAATAGGCCTCTATGTTTTGAATTTTTGTAAAAGCATATTGAATCTCCACACTAGACGTCTTTCATCATCATCATCAGCCTATTAATGTCCCCACTGCTGGAGCACAGGCCTTCCCTATGGATGGAATAGGGAGATTGGGCCATGACCCACCACGCGGGCCCAGTGCGGATTGGTGGGTGCTAACGACTGCAGATGCAGCCGGGACCAACGGCTTAACGTGCCTTCGGAAGCACGGAGGAGCTCGAGATAGTAAATTTTTGGTCACCCATCCAATGACCGACCACTGCGAAAGTTGCTTAACTTCAACGATCGCAGCCGAAGGTGCTAACCACTTGCGCCATCGAGCTCCTCGTAATAATGGTGGATTATTAACCACTAAGTGGTTAAGACACTAACATTCATAACGCGCCCGCGGCCAACTTCATGGTGTTACTATTGTGTTACAGTGATGCGCGCGCATCTCGAAATTTCACTCACATGATTTTTTCATAACGCGCCCGCGGCCAACTTCATGCTGTTACTTTTGGGTTACAGTGATGCGCGCGCATCTAAAAATTTCACTCTCATCATTTTTTCATAACGCGCCTAAAGAAGTATAACTTCAAAATAATTATAACTTGAATAATGTGATTATTTTTTTCAGTTATTTGAAAAAGCACATGAAGTAAACCCAAAAGGAATACACAAAGTGGTTCCCATCGTCGGTGACATGGAACTGCCGGGCCTCGGTATGAGCGATGAGGATAGAAAGACTGTTACCAGCAAGGTAATTTATTAAAAAACACCCAGATTATGAAAACTGCAAAAGTTCATAGTTTTCGTACTATAAAGAAAAGGCGCAAATAAACAAAAATCTGCAGAAAAAGTGACTAACTATGACGGGGGAGGGGTAAAAAAAAACAAAGTTAGTGTGACGTACTTTATTGATGACCCCTTAATTATATTTGGTCGCTAAGCCGTATTTGGGTGCATGAAAGACATTACTCGAATTCAGACCACCCTAAGCAATTATTTACACTGGTATAATTGCTTCATAAATACAGATGGAGCTAAAGAAGTTTCACTTCAGTCGTGTGGTCATAAGTACACTTGTTTTTTTACGTTACATTACATTACACAGATATATTGATTTAAAATGTCGCATAGCGTCTTGGTATATATGTACAAATATGTGTGTGTGTGTACAATATATACAATATATACTAGCTATTCTGAAGCAAAACAGGTGTTTTTTTTTACGCAAAACCTTTTTTTACGCAGGCAAAACCTGTATTTACAGACGTTGGCGCCCTTAAAGGGCACACCAATGAACGGACCTCACACCTAGCCTCTCGCAAGTCTCACGGGTACGAAACAGAGAAGCCGTTAAGCAGTCCGCGCGGCTTACGAGCGCTTACGGCATAGTATCCGCTAAAAAGACAAAAAAACCCTGCGAATACCCTTAAGGAAATGCATAAATATAGTTCGCCTACTAGACGCTTGATGGCGCTGTACTTAAACGTTATGTAGAACAACATATAGCCCATTTGCGACGATAGTGTCATATCTCAAAAAACTTTGGTTATACTATAAAACAATTTTATCTTTGTCTCAGTATTGTTTACAGATAAAACCAAGGTTTTTGAGAAATCACAGTTCTTGCAAGTGGTGGATATGCAAAAATATAGTTCGTCTACTCGACACTAGATGCCGCTGTTTGTAACCCATAGGCCACCGTGATAATCAACGCTGCGGCGACGGTGAAATTCGACGAGAAGCTGTCCGTAGCCACCGCGATAAACGTCAAAGGCACCAGGGAGGTGTTACGGCTCGCCAACGAGTGCAGGAACCTGAAGGCGATCACGCACGTGTCCACGGCCTTCGCGAATACACACATCAAGTATATAGAGGAAAAGTGAGTTCCATGTTCCATACATACATTCAATTTCAATCATGGAGGTTAGAGAGAAGGAGAACGATCGCTACGTACTAAATCATAGCCCGCCTGACCCTGAAACTTCGTTATCACGTCAAACTATCGTCCGTAAACCTTTACAGACAACCATTTTTTTTTATATTTTCAGGTTTTACGAGCCGCCGATGTCTGTAGAGGCTTTGGAGGCTGTCTCAGAACTGAACGAGGAGCTGGTGGAGGGCATCTTACCAACGTAAGTTATTCTAAGGTAGTGGTGAACTTGCTGAGCAGGAGCAAACTTCACTTCGTTGTCTTTGGTTTATAATCAAGATAGTAGGGGAGTCCAAGCGGAGATTTTGGGATTTTCTTGACCTTGCACCTTGAGGAGCGTTCAAGAATTACGTAACGCAAATTTTGAAGATTTTTGACGCCCTCTTCCCCAAATGTAACGCGTCGTAACGTTTTCCTGTAATCATGGCTGATTGTTGAATTTTTTTTTTGCTAGCCTAGACGTTTGGCCCTCCCTACATAAAGGGCTCATCTGCCGCGCTCAAGTAATTTCCTAAATCCGCTTGGAGTCCCCTACTATTAAGTTTTATAATGGAGCATCAAGTCACACAGTCTAGAGTAATTTAGAACATAATTTACTTTAGGCCTAGGTTAGTTAGTTTGTCTAAGAATATTTATTGAAGTTATACTTCTTTAGGCGCGTTATGAAAAAATGATGAGAGTGAAATTTTAAGATGCGCGCGCATCACTGTAACACAAAAGTTGTACAGTAACACTGTAAGACCAACTTCATGCGTTACTTTTGTGTTTACCGCACATTAAGAAAATCTACCAACAAAATAGAAATAGAATCTCTATTTAGTGGGTGCTAACGACTGCATTGTGAAGGCCTATCAAAAGTATTTATTAATCTGGAACAACGGAACCAAAGCGCGATTCAGGAGACTACAGCGCTATCTCTTGACCATTGGTGTAGTAGAACCAAAAACCACATCTTTATTTTTTGTAATAAAGTAACAGTTATAGGTATTCATATTGATAATATCAAAAGTATTTATTAATCTGGAACAACGGAACCAAAGCGCGATTCAGGAGACTACAGCGCCATCTCTTGACCATTGGTGTAGTAGAACCAAAAACCACATCTTTATTTTTTGTAATAAAGTAACAGTTATAGGTATTCATATTGATAATATCAAAAGTATTTATTAATCTGGAACAACGGAACCAAAGCGCGATTCAGGAGACTACAGCGCCATCTCTTGACCATTGGTGTAGTAGAACCAAAAACCACATCTTTATTTTTTGTAATAAAGTAACAGTTATAGATATTCATATTTATAATATTTATCCACATGTTTCTAGTTTGTATATTCGGAATACGTGTTTGAGTTTCATACAAGTGCAAATCACATATATTCTAATAAATTATATTCAGTAGCGATTTTAATTGAATATTTTGATTATTTATTTATTTTTTCAAATTAAAACTGAACTTTATTGACTGTGTCCTTTTCCAGACTTTTTATAAATTTATTGTAATTATTTATTGGCATGCAATTAAAAACTAATTTTAAACGATGCCAAAGAAGGATAACTTCTCACGCGCCTACATAAGTACACGCACCCATTTTTTTATATATTAAAAAGAAAGCAAAGGATGCTACGCCCATACATCCTTTCAAGTAAAGAACAATTTTTTACATGTCCTTTTTTGTGTCATTAAACAGGCCCTGCCAGAATAACAGCGCTGGTGCGACACAATGTCGCATCAACTAATGCTGAGGCACGGTCGCTGAGAGTTTTGAATTTGTATATGTTAATGTGTAAATGAGGGTTAATAAAATAAAATTCATTCTATTCTATTCTATTAAATAAGCCGCTGATTCTTGTTAACAGTTTGCTAGGCAGGCGGCCGAACACGTATTGCTTCACAAAGGCGGTTGCTGAAGAAGCGGTCAGGAAGTACGGGGAAGGTCTACCCATCTGCATCGTCAGACCGGCTATTGGTAATTTCATTATATCTAAAACGGCTGAAGGAAAACTCCTCTAGTTCCATCTGTATGTATTTAAATAAATAGATATATTATGTGTACAATATATACATGTATGTACATATACATATTTTATTTACCAGCTATAAGAGAAAGAAAATGTGCGCGCGCACTGCTACAGCTTAATAAAATTTATTGCTTACATATAAAATATAGCTTAATAAAATCTTTGTTACATTTTCTTTTTTAAGCATATAACTGCTATATGTTTAAATCTAAAGATTTTTGATTTTATTTATTTTTTAAGCATTTAACTGCTAGATGTTTAAATCTAAAGAAAAGTTTACTAGAAAAAAATCCACGCGGACCAGGCAGCGGACGGGACTCGAATCCGCATCCTTCGCTATCCGGGCGAATGCACTGACCATTATGCTACCACGGCCCTATTAGCCGCGTCGAAATTTTTCTAGCCTTAAGCTGCAAGGCAGCGCCATCCCTTCGCATTGTAGGTAACCCACAATGTCAAATGAATACTTTTTCAAGTATTAAACATTTGAAAGAAGAAATAGCAATTATAGTTATGATTTTATTTATTTTTTAAGCATTTAACTGCTAGATGTTTAAATCTAAAGAGAAGTTTACTAGAAAAAAATCCACGCGGACCAGGCAGCGGACGGGACTCTAACCCGCATCCTTCGCTATCCGGGCGAATGCACTGACCATTATGCGGCCCTGATGACCGTGTAGATTTTTCTCTAGTATATCTTAGGCTACAAGCCAGCACTATTTCTTCGCATTGTTTGCATTTGCCCGGATAGCGAAGGGTGCAAGTTCGAGTCCCGTCTGCTGCCTGGTCCGCAAAGGAATATTTTCTAGATAAAATTTTCTTTGAATTAATAAATCTTTGTTATTTCCTCAGTTGTATCAACCTACGAGGAACCAGTGCGTGGATGGACGGACAGTGTGTACGGACCTACCGGAATTGTGATCGGAATCGGAACAGGGGTAAGATAATATATCTACCTACTGATTTAGTTGTAAGTAATCATCGATCTTGTTTGTAGATTAAGGCCCGTATTATAGAAAGATTATTAGTGATTAATCTAGTCTTGAGCATAGTTAGAAAGGGATGTCGCTATATATAGCACATAGCGACATCCCTTTCTAACTGTACTCAAGTAAAGATCAACACTTAGTTGTCATTCTGTAATACGGGCCTGAATCACATCATGGCGTCACATCCAAGCGTTCCAAAATGGTACGCGTTTAAACTGCCCGTGCAAAGTGGGATTTTTATTTTAAATAAAGCACTGGTTGCAAGCTCTGATTAGGAAAGGGGTAATTTTGTTAACTTAAGTTGCTCTTGATTGATTTTACCACGTCCTTAATAACTCCTTTGGGTTTGTCACGTGCGCAGGTCGTTCTAGTTATTTCTAATATCACATAACTGGAGTAATATCCATCACAAATTAATACAAGTAATTGAACATTATTTTTATCACTACAGACATAATTAGAATATTACTTTAAAAATTACTTAAAAATCTAGTCTGAACTTAAGTCTAGGTTTTTATTATAATGTATAAAGGAGATATAAAGTACTAGATAAAATATAAAAAAACGAGGCTTATCACCTTTTGTCACATTAGTTCCGCTACTCACCGCTAGATGACTGGTGTGGTGTTTTAACAACGCTTGTTTGTTCACAACAATGTCACAAGGTCATGAGCTGGTTTGACCAACGCTTTGTTTTTATGGCGTTGTTTAACTAGCCCGTCCTGCTGCCGTCATTCCTCGCTTAGAACCTTAGAAGAACACGAGGAGTCCAGTTGTCCAATCAGTAGTTCCGCTAGTCACCGCTAGACGGCGCTGTTCCACATAAACTTCAGCTGGCGTTTTTTCAATATACTTCCAGAAGGAGGAGGTTCTTTATTCGTCTATGTATTTTGAGAAACTCCTCCCCATACTTGGCATTTTTTAACCGACTTCAAAAAGAAGAAATCTCTCTATTGGTCAATATATTTTCACAATATCCTCTTCATCCTGCAGGTGTTAAGGACCATGTATATGGACCTGGATACAGTGGCGGACATGGTGCCAGTGGATCTGGTGGTCAATGCCATATTAGCATCCGCCTGGCATACGGCCAAGAACTATAAGGAAAAGTGAGTTACACTGTTTTGTATCGTATTTTTATATAGAAATAGAAAATAGAAATAGAAAAATACTTTATTTGTTCTCTCACATAGAAATACATAATGGTAAAAAGTAAGGTATAAGCAAATTCACAATTTAGATACCTAATTTATAATTCTATGTAAGAGACTGGCTTCTGCACTAGGAGAACCTGTATGACAGATAACCAGCCTCTCCGACTCTGGATCAGGTGGATAATGGTACCTCTTACTAATAATTTAACATAAATATAAATATTAACTTGTGAGTATGTGTTATGATGTGTGTGCGTGTGTGTGCGTGCGTGCGTGCATGTGGAAGTGTGTGAATGTGTGTTTATGATGTGTACTCGTATTTAATTTAATAATATTCTGAGTTTCTTATGTTGGAACAGTTAGAAGCTCTTCAGTGTCATCATAGCTAAGACCCTTCAGAAAAGCAGTAGTGGCCTCTTTACATTTAAACTTTGTCAAGGGGTAAATTTTAACCTTCTGATCATCAAATTCATATTTACAAAAAAATGGCTTGGTTTTATGAAACCAAGCCATTTTTTTGTAAATATGAAGATGCAATGCACGTGCTAGGGGTACAGTACAGTAATTTTTGCTACGCATAGATAATTATGAAGCATAGTATGACTGGTGTCGATTTTGGCAGAGTTCTCTAAATCAAATTTAAATCTGACAACACTGTATCCTTGTCATTCTCTATACAGAATGAAAAGGAGAGACTGATGTTAAATTTCAATTTCGTCTATATTTTTTCCCCTATCACCAGTTAAGGACTTTTTTTCAGCTGTGAAGAAAAACTGGCGAAAAAAACTTCACAGCGTTAAATAATTTTGTAACAATATTTACAGAATACTATATTGTTACGGTGTCAATACAAAATGATTTCATTTTCATCATATTTACAGAAATTTAGTTTAAAGTTTAGAGAATCATGCCAGAATCGACATACCATCTATCTATATATATAAAACTCAAAGGTGACTGACTGACATGTGATCTATCAACGCACAGCCCAAACCACTGGACGGATCGGGCTGAAATTTGGCATGCAGGTAGATGTTATGACGTAGGCATCCGCTAAGAAAGGCTTTTGATCAATTCTACCCCCAAGGGGATAAAATAGGGAATGAAAGTTTGTATGAAACTTTGTCAATTTTAAACCGATCGGGCTGAGACTTTGCATGCAGGTATAAGAAGAATCCTAGATGAATGTCATTGTGTATAATACAAGCCTGAGAACAAAAACTGTAGTCTACACTTCAGCTCTACGCCGAAGCGAAGCGAGGGCGGGCCGCTAGTTAGATAAATAAATCTTCTAAATATTTTTCAGTCAAACATCGGACATTCCTATCTACAACTTCGTGTCCGGAGCACAGAATCCAATAAGATGGGGAAAGTTCATTGAACTCAATCGGCAATTCGGTATCGAAGTGCCGACCACAAAAGCTGTATGGTAAGTAACATTTAACATTTTCGGCTGCGATCGTTGAAGTTAAGCAACTTTCGCAGTGGTCGGTCATAGGATGGGTGACCAAAAATCTTCTATCTCGAGTTCCTCCGTGCTTCGGAAGGCACGTTCAGCCGTTGGTCTCGGCTTTATCTGCAGTCGTTAGCACCCACCAATCCGCACTGGGCCCGCGTTGTGGGTTACGGCCCAATCTCCTATTCCAACCATAGAGACGGCCTGTGCCCCAGCAGTGGGGGGCATTAATGGGCTGATGATGATGATGATGAAGTAACATTTATACATTTTTTATTTTTAAACGGTTGGCAACCAAGCATGATATTACGTAAGGCTATCGTTGAAGTTAAGCAACTTTCGCAATGGTCGGTCATTGGATGGGTGACCAAACTTTCACGTTCAGCCGTTGGTCCCGGCTGCATCTGCAGTCGTAGCACCCACCACCCACCAATCGTCAAGGCCACAGAACATAGAAAGAGGTTAGAAAGACTTTGTGGGCGGGGCAGGCGCGCCACAGTTATGTGTGAGTCAATATTCATCACTGGACCAAAACTTGGTTCTGATTGCGTCGTTACTCTCGGGTGTGAGCGCTGATTGGTTCGATTGTTTGATGTCGCGTCGTTTGATTGGCTATTATTTATTAGATGCAGTGCCGTCTTTGACCTATTGGCAGTGCTGCCATTTTAGCGCTTTGGGCGCTAGATCTAGCGCTATTTTGGTATGGTTAGCGCCTATTTCTAAATTTTAGCGCCTAGCGGATAATCTGGCGCTTTTTCATTTATATCATTGTAACTCTCTATTACCGATAATATATTCATTTATCGCCTCGGGAAGCCCCGACAGATTAGGATTGGGACATTTGAAAAATAATGTAAGACAAAGAATACATGAATGGCCAGAATGAAGCTGGCCCAATTTAAGCTATGGACGATAAATTTTGGATTGACGAAATTTTGACGTTTTGTTTGGTTAATTCTTGTCTGTTTTTTATTTGATAAAAAAACTGAAATTAATATAGCGCGTAATCTAGCGCTTTTTTAAATCGCGTTTTTCTTGTAATCTAGCGCTTTTTATATCATTTTAGCGCTCAATCGGAATTTTGATCTGGCAGCTCTGCCTATTGGAGGTCCTGGGCATATTAGGATAATGAGACCCCTATGACCCCCGTTTGGTGAATTAACAGGAACTAGGGACTTTGTATTTGATCTGAGGTAGGCCCCTATCGGTCGCGGGGCCCTGGGCACTTGCCCAAAGTGCCCACTGGGAAAGAGGGGTCTGATTAGATGGAAGTGTAGTGGGGGGAGCCGGCGACATCGGTTCCACATTCGTCTATGATCACCGTTCTAACCTCTTTCTGTGCTCTGTGGTCACGGCCAAGTCTTCCTATTCCATCCATAGGAACGGTCAGTGCCCCAGCAGTGGGGACATTAATAAGCTGATGATAATGATGAACCTCTGTTCCAGGTACTACGGCTTGAATCCAACTAATAATTACTACATGTTCTTGTTCTACAATTTCTTCTTACATTACCTGCCGGCCTTACTCGTGGACACATACTGCGCCCTCACTGGAAGAAGAAGAGCGTAAGTTATCTTTAAATTACCTATTTGAGTAGACAACTTAAGTCAGTAAAAAGTTATATCAAATACAATGTCATTATAGTTTCCGTTGTAGTTATAACAAATACTGGTGTCAATTCTGAAACGATTCTCTAAACCTAAACTTAAATTTGACAACAGTGTATCCTTGTCATTCTCTATACGGAATGAAAAGGAGAAATTGATATTAAATTTAGTTTTAAGTTTAGAGAATCACGCCAGAATCGACACCACTATGTCATTATAGTTTCCGTTGTAGTTATAACAAATACAATGTCATTATAGTTTCCGTTGTAGTTATAACAAATACAATGTCATTATAGTTTCCGTTGTAGTTATAACAAGTACAATGTCATTATAGTTTCCGTTGTAGTTATAACAAATACAATGTCATTATAGTTTCCGTTATAGTTATAACAAATACAATGTCATTATAGTTTCCGTTACAGTTATAACAAATACTATGTCATTATAGCCGGCATTATACTACTAACTAACTAGTGCCTGCTCACTTAATAATATGTACAGGATTCCCTTACTATAAGTACGTGAAAATAATAATAAAGCGATACTTATACAAACCTTGCATCGTTTCTTTTTTACTGTAGTTTGTGTTCAATAATTAAAAAAAATGACAAATTTCGTGATTTTTCTTTCATTTAAAATGCTATGTAATTTAGGAAAAAAATAATTTATTTTTTATTTGTTTAATTTTTGGAAGACCAACAGCTATTAATAAAAATAATAAAAACTTAAATAACAACAGAAAGCCAATTACAGGTCTTCAACAATAAAAACACACTACAACATAATTAAGCGCTATATAAACATAATAATTACAACATAAAAGCATTGTAAACCTATTCGTCGAAAAATGCACTGCTCACTATATCATATTCTCATGATTAATCATTTCCGACGGTAATCATAAAATACATGTGGCTTTTTGTTTCACATTTCACGATTTGATTCCGGGTTCGGCAGGCGATTTTCAAAAAAAAAATGCGAATGCAGTTCTACTTATTATCAAAAATAAAATGATGCCTTCTTTCAGTAAAATATCCTATTTTCAATATTTAATATACTTTTTCTCCGTGTGACAAACCCGTGGGACGCCCTATGAGCGATGCGTGCGCTGCTCCAAAGCCTTATCCGTATGCACCGCCTAATGTAAGGTTATTTAAGAAAAGAAGTCTCACTTCACATACACATGTCGCACGTTACAAACAAAAGGGTATTATCTTCAAAAACAGAGTTTTGAGATATCGCGTTTTGAAGTTTAAAAAAATCATAGAAGCGGAACTACTTGTTCAAATGTTTAAAATGATACCTTGATTTAAACGTACATTATCCTTCTTTGTTTTGAGTACGTTTAGTTAGTATAGTAGTTTTTATTTTAAAAGTACTTCTACGTGACTGGGTAAAGAGAATACCCTATAAGCAGTTCAAATGGCTCATGTTAAAATTAAAACTAGTATCATTTTTAAATAATTTCGCTGAAAATGACATATTAAATAAAATTGAAGAGGCCAGAGGGTATTTTTTTAAATAAAACTTAAAACTTGTATTAATCCGAACAGGCAATAGAGTATTAACTTAACTTAATACTATTTACAAAACTCATACAAAACTCACAATCATAAATTTTGTCTAGAAATTGACGACATCTGTTGCTATAATTCAAAAACTATTTAGAATTAAAATACTATTATCTTACCAGTTTATAGAGTAAATAATGTAGTTTTCGAAACGCAAATAAAAAAATAAATGGTTTTGCCGACTTAATACCCTATTGTTTGTGACGTGCGATGTAAAGTGAAAATTCTGGGGGCAGGGCAAGGGCGGATCCAGCTTTGGCGCCAGGGGGGGGGGTCATATAGCCAGCTTTGGCGTCAGGGGGGGGGGGGGTCATATAGTCATGGTATATTAAATATTGAAAGTACTTAAATAAAATCTCCCTGGGTTTGGTCCATCTGTACCCCCCCCTGGATCCGCCCTTGGGGCAGGTCCGTACACACTAATTTTTATTTCTCTTTCAGCATGCTGAAACTGTACTCCAAAGTTATGAAGATGGCCAACATACTGTTCTATTTCTCGACACAAGATTGGAAGTTCTCCGATCGGAACGTGAGGGGCATGTGGTCGTCCCTGTCTAACGCGGACAAAGCGATGTTCCCTTTCAGTTTGCGTGAAATGTCTTGGGTGCGATTGTGCGAGACTTTCTTGATTGGTGAGTTATATAAATATTTATATACTAGCAAACCAGTGAACCAAATGTTCACCAAAACCTGATTTCTCGAAAACCGGAAGTGCTACGTTACTCTAATCCGGTTTGTAGTCTTATCAGACTATTCTTAACTTATAACTTAAATATTCTCTTTATCTATCTCTTACGGTTTGGCCGCTGAAACAGCACCACAGACGGACGGACTTGTCCAATAGATAAGAGATTTTTTATTGCATGTAACTGCTTGATGGTTTAAATCTAAAGAAAATATAACTAGGAAAAATTCCACGCGGACCAGGCAGCAGACAGGGACTCGAACCCGCACCCTTCGCTAACCGGACGAAAGCATTGGCGCTGCCTTGCAGCTTAAAAATGGCTAGAAGAATTTCGACGCGGCCATGGGGGCCGCCGTAGCATAATTGGTCATTCGCCCGGTTAGCGAGGGGTGCGGGTTCGAGTCCCGTCTGCTGCCTGGTCCGCGTGGAATTTTTGCTAGTTATATTTTCTTTATATAAATATTTCTCATACTCTCGCCAATGAGGGCTATCGCGTCTGAAACCGCCGCTAGAGGCGCTTGTGTTGCGTGAGGTCTCCGAAATGTCAAATGTTATAGCTTTGTGGGTCGACTACGCGGTTTTTTACTAATTAAAATAATAGTTGTGAATATTTGGTAATAAATCAGACTTATTATGGCAAATATGAGTTACGTGTCAATGATTGTCAGTTACTTAAAAGCGGAGCCAAGAAAAAATATTGTCCTTTTTTCCGAACAAAACGGGACTGCGCAACACTATGGCATGGGCGATTATGTTTAAGATACGATTCTTTTGTATTAAAATGTAAACTTTGATATCACGAGCGTGTTTACTAACTTTAAAAGTTACACTTCAGGACCTCACTCAACAGTGGCGCCATCTGGTGAGACATAAAACGATAGCCCTCATTAGCCTAGCTCCAAAGTAAGCACTGTAAGGCTTGTGTTATGGGATCCTGGGGTAATAGTACGGGAGCCAAAGCGGAGATTTTATAGGATATACTCGAGCGCGGCAGAATAACATAAGGGGGCAACCTTGGACCTTGTGAAGTACTCCTACCATATCTGAGCCCTATTTATAGGGCCGAACATATAAGGCAGTGTAGGAAGGCCAAAGGGGAAGAACTTCCTAGAACTTCCTCCGAGCTGGGTGGGGCTGGGATGATATAGCTCGGGGGCTGCGGCCTGACTGAATTTTTTTTTGAGTGTGTATGCTGTTGTTCGTAGGTGACTTTTACAGCGTCACCGGGTTTTGGTTATGGCGAGATCCTAAGGAGATCTCAAGCCGAGAATTGGCGAGTGCCTCTAGAGGTATTCCAGGCGGATGGCATCTCCCACGGGGGGAGTCTCCTCTCCGTCTGGAGCCTCTAGACCACTCCAACCAGAGGGAGGCCTGACTGAAGTTAGTTAGGCATTGTATATATTGAGTATTAGCTTCCGAATTTCTCTTGTGCGATGTAGACTTCCATACGTTGTGAGCGCAGCGCCGATAGCGCCATCTCTTGAGGAGGCGTGTGATTATTTCCTCTATGTTGATTATATGTCGCCGGGGGGGTCATGACCCCCATGACCCCCCCCCCCCCCCCCCCTTGATCCGCCCTTAATAGCCGTTTACATTATTGGTGTTTTTTCAGGTCTAAGAGTATACCTTATCAAAGATGATCTGTCAACCCTGCCCGAAGCAAGGAAAAAGTGGAACAGGTAAAAAAGGAAATTTTAACTTACTTATTAAAAAAATGACGGGTTGCACTCCGGGAGTGCCGGCAGAAGTGAAAACTTGAATATTGACGTTGTGCATTTTTTATATTTTGGAACGGTTAGGGAATAATTTTGCACGAATTGCTTTAATTATCAATATAAATGTACTATCATGTATGTGGTAGAATATAATATTTATTTATTGCATTATCGTACACAAACATGACAATTTATATTACATTAAAAAAGTTTATCTCTCAGAAAAATTAACTTACATGAATCACGTTTAGCGCACATAGCGACATCTATTGTAAAAAAATGCATTTTCTTCGCAATAAAGCTGCCACGTGGACGTCCTAGATAGATACTTATTATTTTGATACGGTAAAATAAAATATTACTGTGTTTCGTCCAATATATAGAAAGTCAACAGCCTTTCCAATTTTATTGTGTGTGCGATCAGCCCACGTGTTTAACTTGACGCGAGTTTAACATTTTTTACCCATACAAAAAAAATGTACAACTAAAGGCTTGTGTTATGGGATGCTAGGGTAACGGATGGAATACATATACTGTACATATATAAGTATATTTATATAGAAATACATATTAAACATCCATGACTGGAGTACAAATGCTCGTACTTATTCATCACACAAACATCTGCCTCCACCGGGATTCGAAACCGGGACGCCTCGAGTCGGCGACCCCTTAAAACCCGGCGTATAAACCACTCGGCTTCTGAGGTCGTCAAAAAATTATATACTGGGATACCTACCTAGAACTTATGACATTAAAGTAGTTACTTATATTGTCATGACATAATTGACGAGTCGGCGAACAAAACGGTATTTTTCAGTCCGGAGGTTACGGGCCCGTTAAATTTGAATCACAGCCTGTTAAACCTGTACCCCAGCAGTGCTGGGGTACAGGCCTTCCCTATGGATGGAATAGAAAGATTGGGCCATGACTCACAACGCAGGCCCAGTGAGGAGAATGTGGTCATCCCTGTCTGACGCGGACAAAGCGATGTTCCCTTTCAATAGGCTGATGATAATGATGATGACATATTTTTTCATGAAATAATATCTAATACTCATATTGCTTTGTTTCAGACTATTCTACCTCCACCAAATCTTGAAGACACTTTTAGTTATTTTAATTTTAAATTTGACTTACGTCGTTCTGAAGCCTATATTCTCAGCCATACTTGGTTGACAACACACAATTATTAGTAGAGAATAGGCTTATATTTATTGTTTTGATTATGTGACTATACATACAAAAAATAATTTTGTAGATTTAAAAGTAAAGCACATGCTAAATTTTTGTATGAACAGTAAATTATCATCTTTTATATTATCAAATATTTTCTTAAAAGCACTCTTTTATTTCACAAACATTTATACTAGTAAATCTTTTTTAATGCTTATTTATTATCGTTATGAAGCATTTTAAATAATAAAAAGACGATTGTTTAATAATTAAGAAATCAAATTTAATAACATTTGACCTATAGCAAACATAAAATAATATTAAATAAATTTGAGACCGTTAATATATATTTTTTTTAAATAAAATGGTGCTTTCAAGTTTTTTTTTTGTTTTTGTAGGTACACCCTAGACAATCTTCTCTGTCAGTAAAGCCACATATTATAATGGTTAAAAAAATATTTATTTTTAAACCCTTTAAATCTGACTTATTTCTTTTTCTATAGATTTTATCCAAAGTATGATATTTTATTGTCTCTTTTACTCTTAATGATGTGCGACAGGGACAGAATGTTTTAAGCTGCAATTTTAGATTAATTTCTTTAATAGCTTGAGATTATCAAAGTTATTCCGTCCATTCATTGCTTTAATTTTACAATTAACTTTAAATCGAGAATTTTATATTTTCACCAATTAATTAAGTCATAAACATTTGGCATAAAATTTAAAATATATTTTTAAGAATTTTAAAAAAGTTAAGTAAAGATAACTTCTTTGTAATAAGGGTTATAGGTTGTAAAAAAGTAATTAAATTATTATCATAATATTATATTTAAATGTAATTAGGTAAGTTAAGCAAATACAAAGGAAAACTGTATTGGTTTACAAATCATTAATTATTTAAAACATATTATATTTGACAATTTAAAATCTATTCTATATGTCATAGCAGGTATATGCATATAGGAAAATTGATTGCTTTGTAATGGTTTGCTTTTGTGATAATAATTAATTTTAATAAACGACATTTTCTCTGACTTATTACAAATATATTAAATCAAATAATAGTAGACAAATGTATTTTTGTATTATTTTTAAGCAATTTTTATATAAGCAATTCCAACGACAATATTAAAATCTTACCTAACAATAAAATTTGTATTATGTTTCTTTGACGTCCGAAGTCCATTATGAGAGTACATCGTTTTTATTGGTTCAACTTCAACTGTTTTCCACTGATTAACTTAACTTAATTATTTTCATAAGAAGCTGTAATTAAGTTATTTTATTTGATATCATTTGTTGAGCATTGAGCAATAATAATATTTTTCACTTCCCACATTGTTGCGTTTCATTATATATACCAACTCTTACTAAGCCACAAGGAGATAACAAATAGCTCTCTCATATTGGACTTCGGACGTCTGACGGAACACATAATATTATACCTTATAATGCGATTCAACTAAGAATAGGACCGACTGGGCGCCATATTGTGATGTCATAGCTGTCAATTCAAACCAAATAGAAAGTGAGCAAAAAAAATTTTTCTTGCAAACCGTATTTTTCAAGCGACATTTGACAGATAGAGGTCATTGGCTTTCCTTTGAATAGCATTATATAATAAAATTTGTATATTTTGACGTCCGAAGTCCACATAAATAATTTACTATTATTATTATTATAATGTCTTCCTGCCCCTTTAGCATGACCACCGAAACGGGATATGATAAAGCGATATCTCGGCATTAACTGTCAGACTACTATGGAGTTTGGGTGCGGCCAGAGTGCACTCAGATTCAGAGTCAGATTCAGATTCTGAAAACAAGCGCGAGAAATAAACAGTGTAGTCGAAGGGTACGGCCAGATTGCACTCCTGATTCAGATTCAGATTCAGACTCAGAAAACAAAGCGCGAGAAAAAGCAAGCAACCTGCTTAGACTACACTGTTTATTTCTCGCGCTTGTTTTCGAAATCTGAATCTGAGTCTGAATCTGAGTGCACTCTGGCCGCACCCTTTGACAGTAGTCTGACAGTTAATGTCGATATATCGCTTTATCATATCCCGTTTCGGTGTTCATGCTAGAGGGGCTGGTGGTCAACATCATTGTGAGCCGAACAATGACAAAGATGGCAGCTTGTTCTAGTTAGGAATTATTATATATTTTAAGGGTATTGGTTCGTAGCTCAGGTATAGATGGCGCCACGAGCACAAAACGTGGCGGAAGTAGCGACATCTAGCGGAAGCAACGGAAAGAAAACGATGTACTCTCATTATGGATTTTGGACGTCTAACGGAACACGTAATAATAAAAATAACTATTTATTAAATAATTTTAACACTTTATTATTGAATAATTTAACTTTTTCAATAAATTTAAAAGTACCGTTGCTCAAATAATATTTAAGGTTATTTATGGTATTAATTTTAATTATTAAAAAATAAAAGTCTGTATATAATTAAAAGCGACGTTTTATTTCAAATTTATTTACAATAGATATACACCGACACAAATGTACAAATACATATACGCTTTTATATACAAATACTACAATAGCTAGGCCCTGAAAAATACACAAGTTACATATTTATTTTATGTACCTGTTGTTTTACAAGCGTCACACAAGTATATATACAAATTGTTTACAAGTATATTTCAGATTTTTGGTGTATACATTTGAAAACAGAATATTTGAAAAATTGTATTGACAACGCTAACTTTGAAATAACTCTTGTAAAAATTGTGTATAAAAAAATAACTACAAAAAATTTAAAAATGTTGCCTGTTATAAAATCAAGTCTTTCAAATAATATAAATTATTTGTCTTTACATTAATTATTTCATGGGTTCATTAAAAACTAAAAATAATAAAAATTGGTTACAAAAGAAAGCGATCGTTTAATAAAATAATATTTTTACTTTAACACATTTTCGTGTAAGAAGCAACATGCAGGCCGGCAGGGTGAGGATGGCTGGTGTGGCAGGGGGAACTGCTGTACCAGCTATCTTCACGTCTGGACTTCGCTTGCACTTAACATCAGGAGTCATTTGTCAGACCTATCTATAAAAAAAACATCTTATGTTTTATGTCTTAAACTTTATGTTCATTACAACGCAACGTAATCTAAGAATATTTACTTTCATAGCGTGCATTTCTCCAAATTTTCGGACAACAATTAATTGTACACCGTGCGTGTTGACTCCGTGATTTTTTTCACGATTCAAAGACTAATCCTCCGCGAGCATAAGTCCCTCGTCTGCTGAATCATATTTTTGCCAAAAACCCACGAAAATTGTTTACTTTCTAAACAAATTTAGTGGGTTTTTAAATGCTTAGACCTAAAAGTGTTGCTGATTAAAAAAGAGTAAATCATTATAAAAAAAACCTTTGAAATCTTTGTAATTGAAAAATTTATATAAAGACATTTTAACTAAACTTGAGTAAAATTTTTATAAATCTCATAGTTCTCATCTCTTAATGAAGACAAAAGAGTAATACTTAAATAAGTAAAGAAACAAAATTTTTGGGAAAATTCAACTCGCTTCAGGAACCAAGGTAGAATAGCATCGTATCTTTTATAGTGCGATTCAACAAACTTTATGACGGTTGTGAAGTTGCAGCGAGTGCAACTCCAGTCATAGACTTGGTATAAATCTATGAATGGAGTGAAACCTGGGGGCCATTCGCCTAACGGAAATGCTTTGGAAAATGCTAACGCTTTCGATTTTATTTAGTCTGAACACCGAAGGTTTTCAAATACCTCACGCTCATTTTTCTTAATATTGTTGTTACCTCAGGCGGCTAGAAATAACCAAATGAAATCGTAAGCGTTAGCGTTTTCAAAGCATTTCCGTTAGGCGAATGGCCCCCTGCTACCTATAAATAAAAGGCCTATTTATATCTTCCTAAAATTAGTTCCCATTTCAGCCACGCGCCACAAGAGCTTGGTCAAACCGTACAATCGGTTTACTGAGACGCGACTCGTGCTAACTTCACTTCACAGCCGTCATTAACTTTGAATCAGCACCTATTGCTAATACAGGCGAATGCTTTAATCATTATTATACTGTGACTTTATTGGGCGTGCGAATTTCCTGTAGTATACAGGGTGTACAAAGTAATGCGACGGTTGGTGAAATTTTATGAAGAGAAGAAGTTATTACATTGCAATAAAGAAGAAAAAATTAAGATCAATTATTTGTACACCCTGTAAATTAGAGGGAGCCGGTTCCATTCCAACCAGGATGAGTAAAATTAAAAAAAAAAACTTAAATGTAAAAATCAAACTGTAATAAATGCTTAAATTAAATTATAACTAACTTATCTTAAACTAATAAATTCTGTCTTTTTTATATTGCAAAATACTATACCTACAGTCACTCAATTTTTTGTCCGTTCATTTATGTTTTTTAAATTATTAAAAAAAAGACTAAGTAGAAGTTTAACAAGCCGCTACTTTATGAATGTATTTTTAACGAATACAGAAATTTTGGCATTTCAAAATCCGCACTCAGAATCTACACTAAAATTGAATGCTTCATAAGGTAAGTTATTTGTGGTGTTTTCTTTTTCAATTACAAAGTGAGAGATCTTATTTAAGCTAAATTAATAGTTAATTAACGTCTCAGTTCTATTTATTAGCAGAAATAAACGTAAGCAGAAAAAAAACTGAAGCCGCCTCGCTCCGAAACGCGGACTTAAGTTACTCTTGGTTCAAACTTAATATTGTCGGTCTTGTTTTTAGCAAACAAAAGTGCAGCATCAGTTTTAGCACAGACTTTTTTTTCCAACACACCAATTAGCCTAGTCTCAAAGTAAGCACTGTAAGGCTTGTGTTATGGGATACTAGGGTAACGGATAGAATACATATACTGTACATATACAGGGTGTTACAAAAAAACAAATAAAGCTTGAAGGGCGTTAAAGTACATCATATAAGGAGTCTTTTTGTAACAACCTGTATATGTATATTTTTATAGAAATACATATTATACATCCATGACTGGAGTAAAAGTGCTCGTATTCATCACACAAACATCTGCCCCACCGGGATTTGAACCCGAGACCCCTCGAGTCGGCGACACCATGAAACCCGGCGTACAAAGCACTCGGCCACGGAGGTCGTCAGGTTTAACTTTAGTCTTAGGCGGAAAGAGATTGGTGTGTTGACTTAATAAACTTTAGAAAGATATAAACTTCTAGCAAATATTTCTGTATAAATTATATCACAAACTTTTTTTATCTATTCTTTGAACATAAGCCTTTTGCTCCAGCAAATCTCTTATCTCGGCCAAACCGTAAGAGATAGATAAAGAGAATATTTAAGTTATAAGTTAAGAATAGTCTGATAAGACTACAAACCGGATTTGAGTAACGTAGCACTTCCGGTTTTCGAGAAATCACGAATTTCAAACGAAACCACACAAAATCTCCGAAGTTCTCAATTAATTAAATACATTTTTTTTTAATTGGTGAACATTTGGTTCACTGGTTTGCTAGTATGGAAATAATAGTTTAATTTAAAATATGACAGTTGTTGCATTTGTTATTTGGCACTCTGTTGGGGTAAATCGGTATCCAAATTGCTTATAATGGAGCTTTAAAAACCATGATGCCTACGGTCGCGTTGTTTCATCGATAGTTAAATATGACTACAGTCAATGCCACGTCAAATACACACAACTACAAAACACCCATAGTCATATTTTCCTGTAGTTTTCATACATTTTATATGGACTCACACGACGACGACGGACACGCTACGAGGCGAGTTCTAATAAAATGTACGAAAACTACAGGAAATATGTTGCATCGTCCCCTTCTCAGGGGACGATCGCATCCGATGAAGCCTTTAAGGCCTTCCCGGCCAGATGCCGTCCCAACGGGTGCTTTTTAGTCCGTAAGTCTGACATAACCCTACAGCCGGCTGTAGGGTAACCATGAGGACTTCTCCCCCGCTCCCCTAGGAGGACACAATAAAAAAAAAAGAAATGATGTGGTGTCGTGGGACACCAGGTAGGAACGAAGTTCCTTCGGCTAATGTAGAATCGACACAAATTGCAAACTCGCTTGTGTATGCGACTGTCGCGCCTGCGCACGTCTCATTTAAAGGTTTTATTCCACGCACTTTTTTTCACGGATTTTTTCTTACGGTTTTACTATCACATTTTTTTCAGTTCGGTCGCGCAGCAAAATCCCTATCCCCGTAAAGAACTTCGTTCCAAAAACAGGAAATATGCCGGTAGCGGCGTTTTGTGGTTGTGGCCACACTTTCGTACCAGCTCTTTCTAATACTCGGCATAGAAAATGAGATGTTAAGTAGGTCTTAGAGTATCGAATATACCTGATACCGAATACATATACCTACATGTAAATGAATTCATTTATTTTCATTATTAAAAAGATAAAAATAAAAACAATATTAAAAAACATTCGTAAGTTAAAAAAAGTGTTTTTTTTTTCCAAAATAATATAATTAATATCCTAATAGGTTTTTAAATCTTAAAATTATATTGTACACATTACATGTATATTTTACCTATACAAAAATACAGCCATTCAAATTAAACAAATATACAGACATTATTATACAAAAGTCTTCTCCTTAACCTAATATTTTAAGACTTATATTACTTTTCACAAGTAACCATGATTAGAAATAACAATTTATACTGATATAAACGTTAATTATAACGAATTTATTTAAGGCTGCAAAAAATACTATAAAAGTATGATAGGGTATTTGACAAGTTTTAGAACGATCTCACGTTATAGACTTATGTTTATGGAGTCCGTAAAACTGGATATTCATCATTCTGTTGTGTATTTCAGTAAAAATAACCAAATCAAAAACTCCATTTTCAAGTTGCCGCGAAAACTCCATTTTCAAGTTGCCGCGAAAACGTTTTTCTGGATAATATGGCGTCTTACTAGTGTGTGACGTCACACGACTGTTATAAAAACGTCGAACGATACAATGTAATGTCACTTTAACCGGAATTTTACTTGCGAGTAACGTCATTTTAGGCTCCGGCAATCCCAAGCGTCACGTGACAATAGATAAGAAAACTATTATCTGATTCGTGGGTTTTTAGTAAAATTATGAATATTTTTTTGTAAAAATAGTAAAAACCCCTGCCAATATTCGTTCTAAACACAGATGCTAACAATTTGCACTTTATTTTTAATACTGCCAAATACCCTTTTCGTACATATATTATTTATATTCAATGTAATTTAAAAAATCCGGACAAATTCTATCGGAGTCTAAAAGTCCTAATCCGAACTGATGGTAACCCTTGTCGGAGGTGAATTCAAAACTATTAGTAGTAAATAATTCGTTATAATTCTGCTATAACAGTAACATTATAAATCAATATTCATATTGCTTTTTAAAATAGCATCAACTATTTCATTAATACTTCTTAATAATAGTATTTAAGACAATAAAAATGTATAACAATCCCTTACGTTATTCAACAAGGAACAACATTAAGATAAGCGATATGATTTACAGGAGTAAAAAAAATGCTCTATTATAATATAAACATATTTTTTTTATAAATCTCAATGAATCGCCTAGAACTTTGTATGATCCTCATATGATCTTATAGCGCAACTAATCTCAATTTAAAATAAAGTTTACCAACCAAACACCATAATTTTGGACTTCTGCTAACTTAAAATAAACATAAAAAAGCTGCTTCATGAAAATATAATTATATGAAAAGGAATTTTATTAAATTTAGTAAAACGAATACTGTTATTATTTTATATTCTTTCAAATAGACACAATGATATTATTATCATTTGTGCTTAATATGCATTAATTTATTATTATTTTTACGATCGATATCAGACAATTATTTTCGAAAAAATATTGAATTCTACAGGCTGTTACAAAAATACAAATAAAATATTTTAAGAAAATTAGAGAAGACTCCTTATTTGATGTACTTCAACGTCCTTCAATCTTTATTTGTATTTTTGTAACACCCTGTATAAAGTAAGTTTAACTTTGTAATAATACCGCCAAGTTTTCTATGGATCATGATTTATGACTTCTCAAGATACCAACTCATATAACACTCAAAACACATTTTAATGCAACTGTTTAAACAACAAAAAAATAATACTATTATTTATCTCGGTCGAGTACATTACATTTTCCGTCCCATAGTGAAAAAAAAATTTAACGTATAATTAGGCCAAATTCTGATATAAAAATCTAAACCTAAATCTTCATTTGATTAAATAAAACACTAGTTTTAACCATTTTTAAAATGCCTATTTAATACATAATATATCTACGTTTAAGTTCCTTTACATGCTAAGTTGTCAATTAATTTTGACGAGCTACCTTCGAAAAATGTATCATCATCATCAGCCTATTAATGTCCCCACTGCTGGGGCACAGTCCTTCCCTATGGATGGAATAGGGAGATTGGGCCATGACCCACCACGCGGGCTCAGTGCGGATTGGTGGGTGCTAACGATTGCAGATGCAGCCGGGACCAACGCCTTAACGTGCCTTCTGAAGCACTCGAGATAGTAATTTTTGGTCACCCATCCAATGACCGACCACTGCGAAAGTTGCTTAACTACAACGATCGCAGCCGAACGCGCAAACCACTTGCGCCATCGACAAACGTGTAATAAGTATTAAAAAACGCATTTTAAATAGTGTTCTACTTAGTGGCAGGTATGCGTAAAAACATAAAAAATAATACTCAATTTGATAATAGTATTACCCTAGCTTGTTCTATAGGGAGTGAAATGGAGAGACTGATACTAAGATTAGTTTTAAGTTTAGAGAATGATGTCAGAACCCCATTATAACGTTAATATTAGCTTGAATTAAACCGTTATTTTTAACGTTGCGACATTATTTTAGCTTTAATATAAACGGTTAATTTTATCGTTATAACGTTATTTTAACAGCTTGAATTGAAACCGTTATTTTTAACGTTACAACAGCTTAATGCTTATGTCCCATAGTTAATAACAGTGGTAAAAGCGCCCCAACTGTCAATATTAGCATTTCGCAGAATTGTAAACCGCCGAAGCCACGTTTCGGCGATACACCCTCTTGGACTGGCAGCAATGTGTGCGTGTGTGAATGCGAGTGTGTGAGTTCTGGTAGTACATGTACGGTTGCAACGTATAAGAACGTACCTGCTGAAAATAACATCGCTATACCTGAAAAAAAAAAGCGAAGGATTAATTTGCCTATAATGGAAATCTACTCCTCCCCTCTTAATAAATTTTAAATAAAATAAATGATTAAATGTATTTTTGAAGTTATACTTCTTTAGGCGCGTTATGAAAAAATGATGAGAGTGAAATTTTTAGATGCGCGCGCATCACTGTAACACAAAAGTAACAGCATGAAGTTGGCCGCGGGCGCGTTAAGAAAAAATCATGTGAGTGAAATTTCGAGATGCGCGCGCATCACTGTAACACAATAGTAACACCATGAAGTTGGCCGCGGGCGCGTTATGAATGTTAGTGTCTAATAACCACTTAGTGGTTAATAATCCACCATTATTAGACATCTGTTCGAAAGGTACTTTGAACGATCCACGGAGCTCCATAAGATGATCGCGTTGTCAAAAACAATGTTGGCACGCTCGTCGCCTCTGATCACTGTTTTCATATTTATAATATTTATCCACATGTTTCTAGTTTCTATATAGACACAACGTGTTTTAGTTACTTACAAGTGCTAATTACATATGGACTAATAACTTAAATTCAGTAGTGATTTAAATTGAATATTTTGAATATTTATTTAATTTTTCAAATTAAAACTGAACTTAATTGACTGTGTTAACTATCCTTTTCCAGTCCTTCTATTATTTTATTGTAATTATTAATTATTTGCATGCAATTAAAAAATATTTTTAATGATGCTAAAGAAGTATAACTTCTCACGCGCGTACATAAGTTACACGCATCCATTTTTTAGTGTCATGTACTATCGCGGAATATTGCGCTCTGTCACTTGGCGACAAAAATGCTTTGAACGGTTTTCTACAGTAGTTTTTACTACGCCCCGCCTTCGCGTCGGACGCGCCAATCCGGGCCGCCGCACAAAAGTAAGACAGAGAGCATTTCATTGATCGAATAATGAATTGAATTGCATTTGTTTTAGTTGCAATTTGTCATCCGCATCGTGATCGCGACAGCGCTATACGAAAAAGTAAGACAGCGATAATTACATGTCTATGAATGAATTTTTACTACGCCGCTACCGCAAGCGATTATGGCATTATGGGTGACAGAGCGGGTCTTTCCGCGAGTGTACCAATTTCTATATGATTACTAGCGGACCCGACAGACGTTGTCCTGTCTAGTATGGTAGCGCCGTCTGTCGGATCCAATGTAAAACATTCCAAAATCAACAACTACTAATAAATTAAAAATTAATTAAAAATACATTGTCCAGCGGACAAAATTGTGAATCTAAACCATTCTCAGATCCCCTTGAACACACACAAAAAATTTCATCAAAATCGGTCCGACTGGAAGAGAGTTCAGTGACATACACACTCACAGAAGAATTATATATATATAAAGATTATGAGTTATGTTGCACGAAATAAATGAATTTTATTTTATTTGATTTTATTTTATTATGTACTCACCAGTGGCATTAAATTCGCTCAGTGTTTGTTTACTCTCGTTGCCGATTCCAAAGTATGTGAGCAAAGCGAGCAGCGGTGCTGAGCACGAGAATATAAGCAAGTGCTTCCGGATTCGATTCCTGAAAAACAACTTTAATTAATACAATAGGCATGACGACGGGGTACAGTAAACGAAATTCTATTTAGTCCGTCAGTTGGATGATCAACAAAATAATGGACACGTATTTTTTCTTTGGGCGATCAACCAAAAAATGACAAAGTTATAGCGCGTCAAAGTTTGGGAGTGGGGGCTCGTGACGTCACTTTTAAGTGAAAATTGTACCACAACGTGACGTCATGCGACTTTTCAAATCAATATATCTTTGCAATGTTTATATTATGTGAAAAAAGAAAAAAATACGTGTCCAATACCTTTGATAATCTACCTGATAAACTAAGAAAAAACAATTATAGTCTGTCCATTCTATTATTATCTTTTTGACAGATCGATCGAAGTAAAAATAGTGACACTCTATCACATAACTCGTTCGATTTAAAGCTATAATCGATATTATGCTAGAACATTGCTTAATCGATTATAAGTACTTATCGAAATTATTTTAATTATCAAAAATACTGGTGTTTAATAAATTATTACAAAATCTCATTAGATTTATGATTTTACCTAGTACAAATATTTGTGTGATGAGCACGAGTATTTGTTCTGTGTCTGGGTGTGATTTATCTATATCTATCTTTATATATATCTATACAACAAAAAAAAGCTGTATCATTTTTATATGTTTGTTTATTCTAATACTAATACTCTGTACAATTTGATTTATTGATTACAATTAATAATTTCATCTAAAAAAAGAAGTTACTAAAAAACTATATCTTTGACTTTTTCTTTACAATTTGGTTGTACTCATTTATTTCTACCGATTATTTGTAATCTGTGGCCCAATCTTAGTAATCATTATGTGTGGCACATCACTAAGTGGGCGGTACCCGTCCATGCAGTACGATATTATTTGTATGACATTTTAACGTAAACAATACAAAATTTCATGGGCGTCGATCTGTCAAAAAGATAATAATAGAATGGACAGAATTATAGTCATCATTCCTATTATAATTTACTAGCTGTGCCCCGTGGTGTTACCCGCGGTTTATTAAGGATATTATCCCGCAGTAAAACGTAGGCTATGTGTTAATCTAACTCCAGGGTTTCAGCTGGCTCCATACCATAAATTTTAATAAAATCGCTTCAGCCGTTCAGACGTGAAGAAGTAACAAACATACACACTCACAAACTGCCGCCTTTATAATATTCATCATCAGCCTATTAATGTCCCCACTGCTGGGGCACAGGCCTTCCCCATGGATGGATAAGGGAGGTTGGGCCGTGACCCACCACGCGGCCCAGTGCGATTCGGCGGGTACTAACGACTGCAGATGTAGCCGGGACCAGCGGCTTAACGTGCCTTCCGAAGCACGGAGGAACTCGAGATAGAAGATTTTGGTCACACACACACACACAGACTCACACTCACACACAGTCACACTCATACATATGAAAAGTCCTATGTTAAATTCAATATTTTTTTTTATTCTTAAAAAGTTTGTATCATTTCTTGTTTATTTGTGTGTGCTTACCTGTCTAGTCCAGCGTGAAGCAGAAAGGTGACCAGCCCAAAGGCGGCTGGTGCTTTGTGTAGCATTATAGCCAAGAAGACTATCAACTCGACGTCCGCATGCGAAGTTGTCGCTGCAGCCCCCAGGGCTATACCGTCAGCTGTGGAGGTGAATTTACTTCATTACGTATTCAAAATGACGTGATTTTAAGTAAGTTTTATTTTTTAATATGACAACATTGTCTAGAGAAAATTTATATAGAAAAAAAAATAACCGAAACATTAAAACCTACTTCAAAACGAAGATGGAACTAAAAAGTTAAAAAATAATATTCGGTTCACAACTTATATTAAAACAAAAAGGGAAGATAAAATTGTGGTGCATGACCACAATTCGCTTTATTCATTGGTCCTTTCTTTAATGTAATTTCATAATATAGGGTTCAATTAAAAATTATATTCAAAATATTTATTAATATATGAAACAAAAAATCTCATTATGACAGTTAATAATTTTTACTAATTTTAAAATTACTCCCATGTAATTTTTAAAATGAATTAAATTTAAGCACATTAATGAACAATATATAAAAAATCAACAAAAAATATCATCTGGACTATAGTATGAAAAAATCAAGTCCGAGGAAGTCGGTTACAAGTAGAGATACACTAAAAGCTAATAAAAACGTATTAAAAAAAAATTACATCAAGGCGTGATAATTTTCAGAATTTTTATAATAAATAAATTAGATAATATGAAAAAAGTATTTTTTTATTTAAATTCACATTCATAGCTTTTTAAAATTGCAACATGTAAATTTTTAAAATAACTTTTTTACTTTAATTTATCAATTTGAGAGCTGTTGATGGGTAAATTTGAAAGGATTTGCTTATAAATAAGTGGAAATTTTCAAAAAAATCGCTTCCTATGTCCGTAAATAATAGAATTATCTACCGACGTCCGAAGCGCTGTTTTTTTGAAAATTTTTATTTATTTTTGTAAAAACGGTTTTGAAGTTCTCATTCATTGTGAAAAAACGATAGAGACACTTTCATTTGCTCAAAAAAGAACAAGAGAGAAAAAAGACTAAACCGTTCTTAAGAAATATTGTTTTACGTCAAATGTCCGCTAATCATTTATTATAGAATTCGCGATTTTATTTTATCGATCGATTCTTTTCAATAGATATCAATTCAATCGATTCTATCGTTGAAATATAACTATACTTCTTTATTGTCGTGGTTGATTGACGCTGGCTACACACAAGTATACACACACACACAACTGAAAAGTGAAAGGTGCGCAGATGAGGTTGCGCACAAAAACGTAACGAGGTCATTTGTTCAGTAGATTTTACTCCTCATATTTTTTTCATACCGGGGGCCTTATATGAAAATCAATTCTTAAGGAGTAAACTCCAAAAAAATTCATGCTGATTATTTATTAAATCATATAAACATTGGTATTTTTAATTTGTAGTTTGAAAATTTAATTGAAATTATTTATAAAACTTAATTGACCACTAAAATCGGTACAAGAGGCGGACTTAATGCTCAAGCATTCTCTGCCAGTCAACTTTTGGGAAAAATGATAGACGCGAAGGCGGCAGAGGCTATATAATTAGCCTTAATAAACTGTATAAATTATTTTAATGCTTATACTATATAGCATATATAAATATATAGTATTTATTGTAGAAGTTTTACTAACAATTAGGATTATATCTTGATATCTTGTAAACTGAGGTTTATATTTAAAGAATTCAGTTAAAATGCTTAAAAAAATAAATAACTATAATTGCTATTTCTTCTTTCAAACGTTGAATACTTATAAAGGTATTCATTTGACATTGTGGGTTACCTACAATGCGAAGAGATGGCGCTGTCTTGCAGCTTAAGTAATACCAGAGAAAATAGGGTATTTGACAGTGTTAAAAATAAAGTGCCAATTGTTAGCATCTGTGTTTAGAATGAATATTGGCAGGGGTTTTTACTATTTTTACAAAAAAAATATTCGTAATTTTACTAAAAACTAACAAGAAAGATAATAGTTTTCTTATCTATTGTCACGTGACCCAAAACGCTTGGGATTGGCGGAGCCTAAAATGACGTAAAACACGCAAGTAAACGTATCGTTTGACGTTTTAATAACTGTCGTGTGACGTCACACACTAGTAAGACGCCATATTATTAAGAGAAACGTTTTCGCGGCAACTTGAAAATGGAGTTTTTGATTTGGTTATTTTTACTGAAATACACCACAGAATGATGAATATCCATCCATTATCCTTTTTACGGACTCCATAAACATTAGTCAATAAAGTGAGATGGTTTTCTATAACTTGTCAAATACCCTAGTCGACATGGACAATAAGGGCCGCAGTAGCATGATGGTCAGTGCATTTGCCCGGATAGCGGAAGGTGCGGATTCGAGTCCCGTCTGTTGCAAGGCCTCGCGGAATTTTTCTAGTATTGTTTTTTTCTTTTGATTTAAGAATTAGGATATTTTAGTTTTGTAAAGCTTCAATTGATACATCGGGTAACATAACATTAGTACAGGTATAAGTACAAGAATTTGTTTTATTTCATGCTGCTGCTGGGGCCTGTCAAGAATGTCAAAACTACAATCAAAATGGCGGACTGGCGCTTCGTTTCATGCGTTTTTGTACTTCTAAAGTTTTAAAATCTTATCATAACCTAAAATAGTATTGAAATTACGTTTCGTTTCACGCAATCACAGTACGTCAAATGCGAACTTTAAAAATTAATTAAAAATATTTAAAGGCGACTCCGGCAGGCGAAATTGTTTTAGGGTGATCTTATGGAGCTTCCTTGAGCCCCCCCCCCCCCATATTCAGTTTCCTCAGATTCAGGCGACTCGAGTCGAAGTCCAACCCCACAGGCTTTCCGTATTGATGGAATAGGGAGATTAGGCTGTGACCCACCACGAGGGGCCAGTGCGTATTGGTGGGTGCTGCTAATGACTGCAGATGCAGCTGGGACCAATATCTCAACGCGCCGAAGCACGCAGCTCGGGACAGTAAGTTATTTGGTCACCCATCCAATGACCGACCATTGCGAAAGTAGCTTGACTTCTACGATTGCAGGCCGAACGCGCTAGCCATCTGCGCCATTGAGCTTGTTTAATTATGAGCGTCGAAGCACGCAGCTCGGGACAATAAGTTTTTGGTCACCCATCCAATGACTGACCATTGTGAAAGTTGCTTGACTTCCACGATTGCAGGCGGAACGCGCTAGCCATCTGCGCCATCAAGCTTGTTTAATTTTGAGAAGGTAAAAATCCATATTTAAAAGTCTGGTCAATGTTTTTCTGTTTCTCTTAGTGAAGCGTGTAAGGTACCTATGTTATTTTAAAACGAACGATAATATTATTCTCAGTAACTTGAATTCTAAATTTCTAAACATTGATAAAAATTTCTTTAGAAAATGGAACAGGTAGCTCTTATTGGATAAAGTTTAAGGTACAATTTGGTATACTTTTTTTTCAAGGCTTGATTTTGTTTGATATGTTTAAAATCTTGTTCATTTTTTTATAATAAATGAGATGATTACTTTTATGGTTGATGGATCGATGGCGCAAGTGGTTAGCGCGTTCGGCTGCGATCGTTGAAGTTAAGCAACTTTCGCAGTGGTCGGTCTTTGGATGGGTGACCAAAAATTTACTATCTCGAGCTCCTCCGTGCTTCGGAAGGCACGTTAAGCCGTTGGTCCCGGCTGCATCTGCAGTCGTCAGCACCCACCAATCCGTACTGGGCCCGCGTTGTGGGTCATGTCCTAATCTCCCTATTCCATCCATAGGGAAGGCCTGTGCCCCAGCAGTGGGGACATTAATAGGCTCATGATGATGGTAATTTTAAATTAAAAAAGGTACAACGACCTTGCAAACAGGTTGAACAGTCCAATAGTCGGTTTATCCTAAAATAGCAAGATTGCAAGTTACACCATAATATTGTTGATAATAATTGTATTTTTTTTAACCTTAATATACTAAGATAATTTATGAAACTTCAAATAAATCTAATCATCATCATCATCATCAGCCTATTAATTTTCCTACTGCTGGGGCACAGGCCTTCCCTATAGATAGAATAAGGAGATTAGGCCATAACCCACAACGCAGGCCCAGTGCGGATTGGTGGGTGCTAACGACTGCAGTTGCAGCCGGGACCAACGGCTTAACGTGCCTTCCGAAGCACGGAGGAGCTCGAGATAGTAAATTTTTGGTCACCCATCCAAAGACCGACCACTGCGAAAGTTGCTTAACTTTAACGATCGCAGCCGAACGCGCTAACCACCCGCGCCATCAAGCTTCTCATAAATCTAATATGCAATAAAATATAAATAAATAAATGTGTATATTAATCTTGTATTCATGTAAATCACTTGAAATATAACATTTGAAGAAATGTAATGGTAATTACTTAATAATAAACTTTGTTTTAAGCAATTCATAAAGTGTCGGTCTGTGATCGGTATAATATATTGTTTTAAACTTTCATGGTTACTAACACTGCGATAATGTTCGTTATTACGGTGATTGTGTGGACCTTATCTTGAATAAGATTAGATAGTTCGTCGGAGGGTAGACCGATATTTCTGCCAATAACAGCCTACCCGCAATTACTTCAGTTACTCCGTGATCATGGCGCTTGCAACAGTGCCGAAATATCTGGGACTCGCAAAAAACAAGGTACATGGTACAGCAATCCCGCTAATAACAAAAAAAATGTGTGCGTGTACTAGTGTACACACGTAAGAAGTGAAACTTCTTTATGGCCTTATTTTCGAAAAATGATCTACATGCAACTTTCCTGAAATTGGTTAAATAAAGTTAAATTAGATAAAGTTTAAACAAAAGGATTTTATTATCATAGACATGAATACAAATTACTGCCTATGAAACTGTTATGATTACACGGCTCAGTAATCTAAGGCACATGTTCCACCTCCGACGATGAACGATAAGCGAGTAGAAACTAGAAACGAATTGGCAGTCCTGAGTTAAAATGCACGCGCACGGCTTTTGACAGCCAAGCCAGCTTAACCGAGCGAGTATAGCTGAGCTAGTATCGCTGAGCGAGTATCGCTGAGCGAGTATCGCTATGCGAGTTTGGCTGAGCGAGTCTTATCTTTAATAACTATTGTCACTCAGCTACAAACGAGTAGAGAGAGTTCTCGCCGGCGACAGTGTGATCATTCAGCTATCAATAATAGTTAAATATAAAAAAAAATGGCGCGTAACGGAAAAATGTGACGCGTAACCGAAAAAATGTGACGGTAAATTTTTTTCCAACGCCGATAAAGAAGTTTCACTTCAATTATTAAAGTAATCTGTATAAAATGCGACTATATGTAATCAGATAGTTCGCGACTTATCGGTTGGGTAGGCGACTATAAATGTGATCGGACATTTCGCGACTAATCGGTATAGTAGGTAACTATTAATGTGATCCGATAGTTCGCGACTAATCGGTATAGTAGATGACTATAAATGTGATCGGATAGTCGGCGACTAATCAGTGTAGTAACCAAATAATTGGTATAGTAGATAACTATAAATGTGATCGGATAGTTCACAGCTATTGGGTATAGTCGGCGACTATAAGCGTGGTCGGATAGTCGGCGACTAATCAGTGTAGTAACCAAATAAATGCGGTCAACTAAAGTGCGGCCATCACAAAAGAATGCGATTCTGCTAGGTCGTTAAGTTAACAGAATAAAGTATACTTTGAATTTAAAAAAAGCAGGTCCTAAAATGAACTTTTATCAATCGCCATGAGGACGACGACCATTTTTTTTTCGGGGCGCAACAAATTACCCCTCCCCAACTGATGTTAAGTGGTAGTGGAGTCTAATCACGAAGATAGATGATGCGGCAGAAGGTGCTGCAGCCATCCTCACCTTGCACCTTGAACCCTACTCACCGACAAAAACTCAACACCACCAAAAACGTCTTCAGACGTGCAGGGAGACCAAGCTCGTTCTGCCACGGGTGAACGCCGCCCTCTCCGAAACTCTTCTACAGCTAAGCAAACCTACACTGCGCATGGTAACAGGTGCTATTACCGGACATGCACACTTTAACAGACATCTTTTTAACTTAGGTGTCACTGACAGCCTCCCAGCATAGGATGCATGGAGGCAGAAGAAACAGCTACTCACGTTCTGCTGGAATGCAACGGAGTGGCCGAATACCGGGCGAAATACCTCGGCTCACCGGGAAACCTTCAGCAGTCACCAATGTGAAGGCCCTGGGGGCGTTCCTGATGGAGCTGGGCTGGCTGGAGTGATTCCGGCTATACACCCTCCTAACGCAAAACAGGCGCCACAAGGACGTCGAGTTGCGGAAACGCCCGTTGGAAGAAGAAAAAGAAGAAGAAGATGTTGTTATTTTACTGTGATCTTCTGTAAGATGTAGGTTGCTTCTCCAGACGGACGCTCCAATTGGAGCGGAAAATCCGCTGTGCCCTATCTGTCGTGACCTGTCAGCATCGCAATCTTTCGTGGGCCGCCCTGTAGTCGGTGCATCTCCAACATTAAATAAATAAATAAATATTTCCAACACTCACACCAATTAGCCTAGCCCCAAAGTAAGCACTGTAAGGCTTGTGTTATGGGATGCTAGGGTAACGGATAGAATACATATACTGTACATATATAAGTATATTTATATAGAAATACATATTAAACATCCATGACTGGAGTACAAATGCTCGTATTCATCACACAAATATCTGCCCCCACCGGGATTCGAACCCGGGACCTCTCGAGTCGGTGACACCATGAAACCCGGCATACAAACCACTCGGAAACGGAGGTCGTCGATTATATATTAACACTTACCAGCAGCATGTACCACTAAACCAACAGTGGCAGTTACATTCTTCTCCACAGGGTTTGAAGAATCGTTGAACCTCGTAGACACCTGGTCGATCAACAGCATGAACACAAAACCTACAAACAAAAAAAGAATGTTATGCCTGATCTACATGTTGGCCATCATTACGGCGAATATTGTGGCAAAGATATTAGCTAAGAGTTTGTGATGGCGTCTACACGTTGAACTATCTTATAGTTCAGTTTGCTACGGTACAAGCCAATGTGTGGATGAATTTATTAAATTGGTTAAATAGATGTTTGTGACTCCTGTGATTGATTTATTCACAGCATTCCTTATTATAGTCAGTTTTCAAATTCAAATTCTTTATTTGCCATTAAATAGGGTACATTGATGTTGTTCATGTTAACAAAGATATAAAGGTAGCTTTAAGCCTATTTAGCCATATGATATAGCATGCAAAAGGAATATTTCCATTTCTATTTCTAAGTAAACAATAATAAAATAAAAATACAATTTCATTAATAATCCGTAATAAGACAGAAAAAAAAACACAAATTGTATACATTATATTCAATAGGATAATAATCAAAACTAATAGCAATACCAATACATGCATCAATTCATTTAATAAGAATAATATTATGAATGTCATTTTTAATTTAAATATTCGTCAATTGAATAGAAAACTTTTTCCAGTAACCATTTTCATAATGATTTGAGAAACATGTCAAATGGGTGTTTCTTTATGTCATGTGGTATTTTACTGTATATTACATTACACATTGCGTAACTATTTTTTAAGAAACACTTGGTCTTTGGATTTATGTCAAGAACAAGTTTGTGGGTATATCTCAGACTTCTGGTAGTCACAGTATACTACCAGACACTATAGTTAGGGTGCTTGAATATACAATTCAAATCCTGAGCGTGCATGCAATCGGTACGGAGGGAGAGAAATGGTGTCCGTTGAAGTTTCACTTCTACTATGTGTCCCAGCACACATTTGGATTTTTTTTTATAATTCCATAAAAGCCAAAAATAAGAGTGTCCAATTATTTTCATTACCAGAATAGTAAGGTTTAAGTTTAAGCTGATTTTCTATAAAATAAATAAACAGAGCTGCCCATAAATTTTTTGGGAATCCAACAGGAATCTATTTCTCTATCCAGATCATAATGTAGTTTATGATGTACCACATTTCATTTATATCAGTTCAGTAGTTTTTGTGTCATTAAGTAACAAACATATGTTTCGAAACCTACAAGCCAAATTTGGAGTCCCTAGACCCAGCAGTTTGGGCTGTACGTTAATATGGCAGCCAGTCACTCAGTCAATTTCTTCTTTTATATATTCAGATTAATAATGAATTACAAATTATTACATAAAACAAGTTCTTCTAATTAAATAAAACTAGTTTTTACGGGTTAATGCACGAAACTTTATTTATTTATGATGTTTCGTAGTCTTTACTTCAGTCGTTGTCAGAATAAAACTTAATAAAACTAGTTTTATTCTGACAACGAAGCCTGTAAGAACATTTCGTAGTCTTTACAGGCTTCGTCGTCAGAATAAAACTTAATAAAACTAGTTTTATTGTGACGACGAAGCCTGTAAAGGCTACGAAACGTCATAAATAAATAAAGTTTCGTGCATTAACCCATAAAAACTAGTTTTATTTAATGAGTGATGTGCGTGAAAACCTAAGAAACAAATAAGTTCTTCTAATCTCATACCCACCTAGTACCAATGATACACCGATGACCGAATGCAGGTCATCATCATGACCAGGAGGTTCAGCCGTGTAGTCTTTAGTGACTATTGTAGGCATCGACCTCTCGCTGAATAAAGACCGGACACCTTCCGGAATGATCACAGCCAGTGCTGTCCCGACTAGTAGGCCTGCTCCGAACACTGTGACTTTCTGTAGCTTATCCTAAAAATATTATATTATTAGTTAATTATCTCATAACCAGGCATTAATTGGAGATCAGTATGGAATAATGAGATTAGAGCTTTTTGTTGAAAAAGCCAATTCGCACGCGGAAAAGACATTGAAATGTTCTGCTTATAGTGTAGACTGATCGCAGAAAGTGGTAACACAAAAAAAAAGTTAATTATCTTGTAGTCTTAATCTACGACCTGTATGTCTAGTACGAGTTTGATGTTAGGAAACTATTATACTTGTCATCATCTTGTCTCCTTTGACCCAGACATTGGCAGAATTGTCACATAATATGACTATATTATTATGCAGTCATAATAACCAAGAGTTAAATTGAATTGGAAAAATTAACCCGTTGACTTTGTAAACTGATAGTTTGTGAGAGCTCATGAAAACTATCATAGTTATCATAACTTCTAACCATTCCTTTATGTTGTTGGCAAAGTTTAACAAATTGATTTACCAATATCAATTTTGATCTAAGAATTAGAGAGAAAGTTAAACAAGTCTAACTAATTTGTGATTAATAAATTATTTATTATTGACAACTTAGAAATTCTAAAGAAAATTTTACTAGAAAAATTTCCACACAGTCCAGGTAGCAGACAGGACTTTTTTTCCCGTAAAATTTCCTTTAGATTTAAACAGTTAATTGCTGAAAATAAAACTAAATAAACGTTTAAATTTCTGAAACACCAAAACTAAGGAATAAACATATGGTAAGTCTTGAAAATTATGATTGCAAAATCAAATGATATTTTGATGATATTGTTGAATATGTTAGTTTTTTACATTACCTCAGACATATTTACGTTCAGGGGTATACTTCCAGCCACATAGGATCCTATCAACATTACTAACGCGAGCAAAACAAGAACCCAAGTTCCATCCATGTTTATGAAAGATTTATTGTGATTTCGACAGTAGAAAAATTTTAAATGGGCAATTTATTTTACTTAAAAATGCAATCAAACTTTATTCAAATGTAGTCCTTTCATAGTTTAACTCAAAACGCACTATAAATTAATTTTGATGAAATTGATCGCTCACTACTAGCGTAAAATCGTATTTTGCAATTTTGACAACACGACATTAGGGACGCGCATGGATTGGACTGGAACAGGTATGCATACTAGGTATATATTACTTGCTCTGTACTAGGTACTTTTGTTTATGGCCAAACTTTCCGGTTATATTAAGGTACTCTGTGGGCCAAACCATGGCCAAACATAATACTCATATTAACATAACAATATAAATGAAGTAGGGCATTGACAAAGATACAGACGAATTTCTAGTTCACTTACGTCACATTCGTTCATACTGTATCCCTAGTTTAATCTAGTTTACCATGAGTTCACCTCGTCTTCTATCTCGCTCGTTCCTGAATCCACCCGAATCTTAGAACATATAGCAATGGAGATGGCATAGTCGCGCGAAAACCTTTCGCTAAAGTTCGTGGTCACTCGACCTTGTGCGTTTTAAGTATAAAACTAGTTCACGCGCTACCGCTACCATTTTGGATTGTTCCGTATCGCGAGTTGGAGCTCACACATAAATGGAAAATTATGTTGTTTTCTTATGCAAAAACCGATCTGCCACTTCAATCCTGCTGGAACATGGTGTTTCCTATCATAGGGTACGGCCAGATTAAAAGAAAAGGCGTGGAATGACGAATGAATGACAAAAATAATAGAAATTCATAGCGATGTGACGAAAAATGAATGAAATGAATGAATAGTAATTTTATTTTTAAAAAAACTTTCAACAAGTTGTTGTACAAATAGCAAGTTAATAAAACACATATAAATCGATAGATTTTATAAATAAACAATCATTCAAGATCTAAAACTTTACCAAACAAAAGTGTTGATTCTTAAAAGCAATAGAGAAAACCAAATAACAAAAATTTTACCACACTCTAGCTTTTTTACAGATGTTAGGGTACGTCGTAAGAAGCTTAAGTTTTTATAAATCGGGGAATATAGGGTGGTCAGACTGGTCGCCATATTGGAAAACGCGTTATCGCTATATCTCTGAAATTATTGACTTGTTTATTACTATATTCCCTAACTTTTTCGGCAAAAACGTTTAATTATTATAACTCTTACCGTTTAATCAAATAAAAAAAAATTAAGGGAATTTAAGGACCAATAACTTTTATATGACGTTTTTTATCAGTTACTGGCATTTTTAAGGTTTTATAAAAGAAAAACTACAAACATGTTCAAATAAACAACAATAATTAAAAACGGTAACAGTTACAATGTAAAATTTTAGTCAAACAGTTAGGGAACTGAGTAATAAACAAAAAAGTACTCTACAATTGTTTCCGTAAAGTCAATAATTTCGGAGACATAGTGATAATTTATTTTCTTATTTCAATTGACTATATTATTGTTATATGTTTTTGCAGAAGGTTGATTTTTTTTGAGATGGTGACGGTATTGCATTAAAAGATTTCTTTATATTAAAAAAAGTGACAATTTTGTCAAGCGTTGGAGCAAACACATCGCGTTAAATATCTTCAAATGCTAGATATATGACTTATATTGTTGGAAAGAGGAGGTCATTCTTGTATTTATTCCAAATAATATGCTCAATACATCACCATTAGCCTATTAATGTCCCCACTGCAGGGACACAGCACAGGCCTCGACAGGAGCTCGAGATAATAAGTTTTTTGTCGTCCATCAAAATACCGACCATTGGCAAAGTTGCTTAACCTCCACAATCGCAAGCCGAACGCGCTAACTGTGCTATCGAGCTCCGTACGTACGTACTCAATACGTATTTGCGATATATATAGATTTATATTATTTTATTATTATAATAAAAATAATAATAAATACATATATCCAAAACCCACACCAATTAGCCTAGCCTCAAAGTAAGCACTGTAAGGCTAGTGTTATGCGATACTAGGCTAACAGATAGAATACAATACAATACAATATAATTTAAAAGTATATTTATATAGAAATATATTTGTTTCTTAGGTTTTCACGCACATCACTCATTAAAGTTTAGTTTTTACGGGTTAATGCACGAAACTTTATTTATTTATTGACGTTTCGTAGCCTTTACAGGCTTCGTCGTCAGAATAAAACTTTTATTTAATTTGTCGAGCTACCTTCGAAAAAAAAAAGGAAGGAAGGTAGCTCGACAAATTAAATAAAAGTTTTATTCTGACGACGAAGCCTGTAAAGGCTACGAAACGTCAATAAATAAATAAAGTTTCGTGCATTAATCCGTAAAAACTAGTTTTATTTATATAGAAATACATATTAAACATCCATTACTGGAGTACAAATGCTCGTATTCATCACACAAACATCTGCCCCCACCGGGATTCGAACCCGGGACCTCTCGAGTCGGCGACACCATGAAATCCGGCGTACAAACCACTCGGCCACGGAGGTCTTCAAAAATTTTGGATTAAGCGTACGCTAGCGAAGCACTCGTTGAAAGAATGGGATTGATCTTTGCAGAAAGCTTGAATCACTGAGTTTTTTCTAATTTATCACACATGATAAAATTATTAACGTCTTAAACCACTGAGGAAAACAAAGTACTAAAACTATAAATAAAGTTTAAGATAGCTATTTATTTTATAAATGAAACTTTTTGATTACATTTTAGACAAACATTATATTCATTCATCAAGTACTGTTCATTCAAATATCTTTCATTCTAATTCATCATCATCAATTAATGTCCCATCCCTAACCATAATAATTAATAATTAGCATAGTGCATTTTTGAAGTTATACTTCTTTAGGCGCGTTATGAAAAAATGATGAGAGTGAAATTTTTAGATGCGTGCGCATCACTGTAACCCAAAAGTAACAGCATGAAGTTGGCCGCGGGCGCGTTATGAAAAAATCATGTAAGTGAAATTTCGAGATGCGCGCGCATCACTGTAACACAATAGTAACACCATGAAGTTGGCCGCGGGCGCGTTATGAATGTTAGTGTCTAATAATGGTGGATTATTAACCACTTAGTGGTTAATAATCCACCATTATAAGACATCTGTTCGAAAGGTACTTTGAACGATCCACGGAGCTCCATAAGATGATCGCGTTGTCAAAAACAATGTTGGCACGCTCGTCGCCTCTGATCACTGTTTTCATATTTATAATATTTATCCACATGTTTCTAGTTTCTATATAGACACAACGTGTTTTAGTTACTTACAAGTGCTAATACAGGGGGTCCCACACTAGGAGAAACCTGTATCATGGGCACCCTAATATAATAAATAGGATGGCGTCACATTAATAATTTATATGTAATTATTATTTGTAACAAAACAAAAGTGCTAATTACATATGGACTAATAACTTAAATTCAGTAGTGATTTTAATTGAATATTTTGAATATTTATTTAATTTTTCAAATTAAAACTGAACTTAATTGACTGTGTTAACTATCCTTTTCCAGTCCTTTTATTATTTTATTGTAATTATTAATTATTTGCATGCAATTAAAAAATATTTTTAATGATGCTAAAGAAGTATAACTTCTCACGCGCGTACATAAGTTACACGCATCCATTTTTTATTTGTGTGACGTAATTTTTGAAGATGATAGATTGGCCAATGGCCTTGTGGGCGGGGCAGGCGCGCCAAAGTTATGAGCAAATGCTCATATCTTGACCTGTACTAGCGATCGCGTCGTTTAGTTGCTCGCGAACCCTTGGTGAGAGAGTATTGTGATTAACGCTTGAAATATGCCTTCTTATGCTGTATTTACTTACAAAGTTAGGATTCAAGTATCAAATCTAATGAAAGGAGGACTTTCATCGATAAATATCAAAATTCTTATTTACACTGATATTTCAGTCAAAATTCGATGTACATAGTAGTTTTCAATAAAAATATTCATTGCTAACAAAGTACGCTCGCGATTCTTTCTCCTAAATTCAAAACACGTAATGTACTATGATTTACTTCACCACTATGGATTTAGAGATACCACTCTGGATCTTATTGTATCTTATTTGAGTGATAGGTTTCAGAGGGTTGACATCAATGGAGTAAAATCTCCTGGTTCGTCGGTTAAGATGGGAGTTCCGCAGGGCTCAATCCTTGGTCCTTTCTTATTTTTAATTTATATCAATGACTTGCCCTATTTTGTAAAGGATAACCACGAAATAGTATTGTTTGCGGATGACACTTCACTTTTGTTTAAAATTAAACGTAGGGAGTCACAAATTGATGACGTGAACAGGTCTATTTCGAAGGTAGTCCACTGGTTCAATGTTAATAATTTGATGCTAAATGAAGGGAAAACTAAGTGTTTGAAATTTGTATTACCTAATGTGAAACAGGTAAAAACTAATGTAAATATAAAGGATCGACATATGAGCTCTGTAGATTACCACAGTGTTCTTAGGAATCACACTAGATTCTAAGCTGTAGTGGGGCCCACATATTGATGGATTGTCGAAGAGACTTAGTTCTGCAGCATATGCTGTAATGAAAATACGGCAGTTAACGGATATAGAATCTGCCAGATTAGTCTAGTTTAGTTATTTTCATAGTGTTAATGTCTTACGGTATTTTACTGTGGGGAAATGCCGCCGACATTCAAACTATATTTGTGCTGCAGAAGAGGGCTATTCGATCAATTTATAATCTTAAAGTTATGGATTCATTAAGAGATAAGTTTAAAGAAATAGGTATATTGACAGTTGCATCACAATACATATATGACAACTAAGTATTTGTAAAAAAAATTGATTTGTTTACTAAAAATAGTGAAATACATACACATAATACTAGAAATAAAAATAACTTTACCTGCTACTAGGCTCCACAAAATCAATAATTCGTTTAGAGGTCTTAGTGTTCGCTTTTACAATAAATTACCAAGCAATATTCAAGAGTTAAGCATGACTAAATTTAAATCGACCATTAAAAAATCACTAGTTAAGAAAGCATATTATAAAGTGTCTGATTATATTACAGACAAAAATACTTGGAAATGAACTGTTCCAACCATTCCAACGGGTATTTCTATAAGATTTAAATTATGAATTATGTGTTGACAATACTATAATTAAATTGAAAGCTGTATATAAAGTTGATAAC